CGTTTATGGGTACAATCTTCTAAAATATTAAACTTTTGGTATGTTAATGGGTCTAGCGGGTCTGGCGGGTCGGAACCGTTTAGTTAGGGTTTGGGTTGGGGCGGGTCTGGGTCTAAGCTAAAGCGGGTTGGGGCGGGTCTTGGGTTTATATATTTTTCGTGGGTCGGGTCTTGGGTTTAGGCAAACCCGGCCCAAAACCGACCCGTTGCCATCCCTATATATAATTAATCTTATATTTTCTCTTCAGTGTAAAAGTTTATTAAACTAGATTACATATCTCTAAATACTCATGGGGTGACTCATTTTCTCTAATTGTTTAACACTTTCAAGAGATTCGCTATCACTCATGGTGGGAGGTCGCTTCGACTTTCTTCCTTTCTTCCTTTCTTTTTGATAGGCTTTCCCTTTTGTTGTCGGAGAACATGGTGGTAATAAACTATATCTATATATTTATTTTTTATTTTTTTGACAAGAACAATTCATAGTTTTATATTTAGACCGGTAAACTTCACTCTCACTTGGATCATATTATTATGTTTATCAGTCTAAGAACCAAATTTATACGGTTAAAACTTGATGCTTGTGTAATTAAGGTGATGTTTGCAAAAGCTTTTTTAAAAGCAAAGGGCAAACTACGGTCACCCTTCTGAGGTATAGCCAAATTATGAAAAAACCCATATGGATTGAATAATTACAGTTATCCTCCCCATTTTAAATATTTTTACATAAGATTTACCGAAACAAATCGTATATTCAGTTCGGTAAACGGTATGAAATGACCGAAACAAATCGTATATTCAGTTCGGTAAACGGTATGAAATGACCGAAACTTCACTTTGATTTTACTGATTTAACATCCCTAAATTTACCTGTGGATGGATTTTTTCGTAAATATAATACATAGGTGAGGGGTGGCTGTAATTATCCAAACATGAAAGAGATTTTCGTAATTCAACCATAACTCAGGGAGGTGCCTGTAATTTGCCCAATAGCATAAATTATAGATTGTGAGTTAAGAAGGTGTTGGCTAAGCTTATAAGATGTTAAAAAGAGCTTATAAGATGTGTACGAGCTTATAAGGTCTTCCAAAGTGTTTGGTAAACTTTGAAACAAAAAATCTTAATTTTTCTTAAAATAAGTTGTTGGAGAGCAATAAGATCTTTAAAAAAAATACATATACCCCACATTTCTTTTTAAGATCTTATAATGAGTAAAAATAGGAAATAAACTCATTATTCAGACACTTTAAAAAAATAATTCTAAAAATAAGATGTAACAACTTATGAGCTCTTAAATTATCTTATCAGCTACTTAAAATAAGTTTAGCAGAATGGGCCCTTAGAGGGTGTTTGGGTAAGTTTATTTTAAACAACTGATAAGTTCTTACGTGTGATAAGATGTTTTAAAAGTCGATAAGTTGTTACATCTTATTTTTAATTTTTAGAGTGTTTGGATAATGAGCTAATTTCATATTTTTACTCATTATAAGATCTTAAATAAAAAGGTGGGGGTAGAGGTACTTTTTTAAAAATATCTTATTTGCTCTCCAACAGCTTATTTAAAAAAAATAAGAATTGTTTTTTTTTTTTTAAATTACCACACTTTTGAAGAGCTTATAAGCTATAAAAACATCTATAAGCTTAGCCAAACACCCTTTTAATTAATTTTAAGTGCTTATGTATAAATGTTGGATGTTTGCAAATTTGCCAAAAAATAAACATAAATCTAAAAAACAGGATTGCAAGTGCTTAACAAATTATAAAATTGCTTATTTTAAAAAAAAAAGTAAAAGGAAAAAGAAAAGATCAATGTACAAATATGTAAAAATAAATTATAAGCAAAAAAAGGTCATAATCTATTTTTGAAAGCTTTTACAAAAACCACATAAGTCGGCTGAGCCATAATATTGGACCACGCATGAGCTAGACACATTAGAACAAGGTCCACCTTCACATAACAAATTAGTATTCAATTTGAATACAAACAACCGTCCAATTTGATGATATGTGATTATGTAGGCAGGATATTTATACAAAAAAAGAGAAAAAAAAAATATATAATCTATCAAAGAATAGTAGCAACACTATCAAATTAATAAAATTATCGAACAAATAATTTAATACGATTACTATGAGTTCGAACCGAGAGAGTTTATTATTTACGCGAAATTATTAATTTATGCGAGAGTCGGCTGTAGTAGACAGACATGAGAGAGAGAGAGAAAAGTCCAATAAATTTGCAAATTATTCTTAAGGAAATAACCCCCTTTTAATCATTACATTAACACAAATTAAATGAAATAACCCACAATAATTCTCATATCAATTGTCACACTCATAACTATATAATTTAATTACATGAAAATTGAAGATATGCGTGCTACTAATTGTTGTGGTTGTGGCCCAAATGTGTCTTGGGCCTATAGCCCAATTTCCACATTACACACACACTTGTCTATTTGGAAAGGCCCAACCAGAATAAGTCCAGCCCATTAGTGGGAATGTGCTAGAAGGCTTGAATCTGAACCGTTGGTTCTGGTGTGATCTCAGCCGTTCATTATAGCTGACCTTTCCTCTCCCTTGTACCTCCTTTCCCGTTTTGTGCCCTAGACAATCTCTGTTCTCTCTTTTGGTCCCCCTCTGCTTCTTTCTTCTTTTGCTCCAGCAACCAT